TTGTGTATTCTCCTCCGTTATCTGTTCTGAAACACTTGATCTTATTTCCAGAATCAAGTTCCACCCGCGCCTTAAAGTTTTTGAAAGTTGAAAACACGTCTGACTTCTTCTTAATAGGTACACCCAACATCTCCTGGAGTAGTCATCAATAATGAGACAAAGTATTTGCTCCGCCTAGGGATGTAACTGTTGCTTGTCATACGTCAGAGTGAACCAATTCTAGAACACTTTTGCCTCTAGAATTTGATTTGTTGAATTTCAATCGGTACTGCTTACTTGTTATGCAATGCTCACACAAATGAAGTATTACCTTTGTTAAGCCTGGAAGTAGCTTTTGCTCCATAAGGACTTTCATTCCTTGTTCTGACATGTGTCCAAGTTCTGCATGATCATTGAAACTATACACAGATCCTCCTGGGACAGGTTCATAATGACTGACATGTGTCCAAGTTTCTGATGCCATAGCATTGCAGAATCTGAACTACATAAGGCAACAAAGGCTTCTACTTCTAGCAAAGTCTCTCCCTTCAGCATATACAAGTTTGCTGCTATCTTTTCACCTTTTCAGAACACCCTTTCACGTGCCGCACATCTCAAACAATTTTGATTGTTCCATCATACATCTTCAATTTGATGGCTCCCACGACAACGATCTCTAAGGCATGATCATTGAAACTATACACAGATCCTCCTGGGACAGGTTCATAATGATGAAATCATTCTCTTCTTGAGGTCATGTGATATGTTGCTTCCGAAATCAATGAGCCATATATCTGTATATCTCTTTCTACCTTCCACGGTGGTTGACGCTTCACAACATAGAGCATCTCCATCATCTGAAGTGTTTGCGGTATTGCCTTGTGTATTGGAGTTTTTATTTAGACACCAACAATCATTCTTCAAGTGACCCTTCTTTCCACAGTTATAGCACTTTAAATTCTTCTTGCTCCTCGACTTTGATCTACCATGTTTGTGACTGTTGTTTTGGCCATGTTCTGTTGATCTCCCTCTCATCGTTGTCAACACTTCTGCTTGTTGCAGATTTACTTGTCTATCTTCCTTGTTCTTGCGCCGATTTTCTTCTTGTAGAACAACAGCTGCAACGTCATCGAAGACTAGACTAGTGACATTACTGTTTGTCAAGTTGATGATGAGTTGATCATACGAATCAGTAGACTTTGAAGTAGAAGTTCAACACGTTCTTGCTCTCCTATTGTACATCTTAAGGATGTAAGCTGAGAAAATAATGTGTTTAGTGTGTATAAGTGCTCCGTCACTGAAGTATATTCTGACATACAGAGAGTGTATAATTTTCTCTTAAGGAAAATTTTATTGTTCAACGATGTGGCCTCGTACAGTTTGGTGAGATGATCTCATATCTCCTTAACTGTCTTCTTCTCCTCGATACTTGACAATACTTCATCTGCTAATACTAGATGAAAGTTTGCCATAGCATTTCCGTCCATTTCGATCCATTTGTTGTCATCTATGAAATCTACCGGCCTTTCACTGATAGCTTCTAGACAACCGTCTTTCCTCAGGATGGCCTTCATCTTCAATTTTCACAATGAGAAATTTCTCCCATTGAATTTTTCAATATCAAATTTCGTTGCCATAGTTTCTTTTACGGATAACTCCCACTATTTCACTATCGTGAATAGTTCTTTGGAACCTTCAAAGAATGAGTAATAACTTCTTACTTTCTTATGTTGGAGGATCCATCTTTTGGTGGCAACCACAAAGACAATAAGTAGATATTACACACTCTAATCTAGCTCTGATATCAATTGTTGCGGAAGACGGCTATCGGATAGAGCAAAATCGCAAATGATAATTTGAGAAAATAAAAATGAAGATAAAGAAAACACAAAATTTACGTGGAAAACCCCTAAATAATATAGGGTAAAAACCACGGGCAACGGTAGAAGAATTTCACTATGAGAAAATCGGAATTACAACCTCTCTCGATCTACCAATGAGAAAACAATGATAATTCTCTCTTGATAAAAAAGAAAAAACAACTCTCAAGAAACTCTCTAAATTCTCTCTAGTATTGGAAGAAAGCTAGAATGCTTTAAGATGATTTTGAAGCTAAATGAGCTAGGGTATTTATAGTTGAAGCTTAAGGACTAATCTTGTAAATACCCTAAAGTACAATGACTAAAATGTGTAATTTTGCCATGTCACTTTTTAACCATTATTAGTGCCAACTATGAACCATTATTGTTGCCAACTTACAATGCATTATGAACCATTATTATGCATTATGCAACTATTATTAGTTGCATGACAACTAATATCAATCTCAGCTTCGAAAATGTTTCGGGGCTTATCTTGTGTTCCTTGTTGGCATATCTCCTTTTCAGGATGTTTCCACCATGGCTTAACAGTCTTGCATAAAGTGACCGCTGATATTACCCAATTTTAACATGTTCTATCCATTGAATACAAAATTTTATGCTAAAAGGGAAAAAAGATTATCAATACAAAATATAAAAAAATATATGATAATTTGAATTTTTTACTCTATATATCAACAATTGGTAGAGGAGATTTTGAGATTTACATTTGAATCTGCTGAAGGTGTAGAAACCGGTAAAGAAAGAAGGCATAGTAAGAGAACAATCTCCATTGAAGTTGAAATGTTGCTTTTATCAACAAAATTTTTGAGCCTGTTTTATTTATATTTTGAGAGCACTAGAGGGGAATTTGAGAATTGATATCTTGATGTTAGCAATTTTTTTTTTGCAAAGAGAAAAATAAAGAAAGACATAATTAGTGTAAAATGAAATCCTTGGGGAGTTGAACACCCCTTCAATTAGTTTCGAGCATGAACTTCACCTTGTCTGACGGTTGGGTAAAAGTAACAACATCTTCCTCAATTTCACAACCCATTTTTGATAGAATATTAACACGAAAATTCCCTTCACGAAATTGGTGCTGGAATTCGACATTCCACTCCTGATCACGCAGACTACGAACATCTGCTATAATAAAGCCCAAAGGTTTTGTAAAAGCATGACCAATTGCAATCAAATGAAGAGCCACACGGGAAAATTTTGACTTTATAATATGCTCAAAACAGAGTTTATATCAACTATCCATATATGTATACAAGGGAAATTTTGACTTTATAATATGCTGAAAACAGATTTTATATCAGCTATCATTAAAAATAATATTTGACTTTATAATATGCTCAAAACATTAACATAAAATCCAACTATCCATATATGTATACGAGGGGAAATTTGACTTGGAAAAATCCCGCATTTGTTTTATATCAACAGAGTTTTAGGAGCATTACATGGATCAGTTTTAAGGTTTACGTGAAGGGACACTGTCGTTTCTTGCAAACTAAGCCTGTTTGTCTAAATAGAATCTTAGTTTCGGATAAATTTAGTGCATTTGTTAATTGATAATGTGCGAGCTTTGTAAGATTAGACTTGGGGGATAAAATGTAGCATATGTATTGAAGGATTAATATCGTGTTTACTTTCTAAATTACAAGTCACCTTAATTAATTAAAACATTGAGTTGCGTGCATTGATAAAGTCAACCCTTTATTCTAGTTTCTCCCAGCTTATCAATGTTCAAGTCTTTAATAGGACCTAATGGTATATATATAAACAAAAATTACGTTAGAAGATCATTTGCCAATTTAGCCAATTGCTTATGTTCCGATATTTTAATCTTCAAAATGCTGTTATAAAGTTTATACTAAAAACTAAAAAGATACAATTGGATTACTTTTTCAAGGGAATGTTGATACTGGACCTATCAAAGGGTCAAGTTACTTATTTGACCCTCACTATTTTAAAAGCTTTGGGTCTACTTGACAAGTAGGGTGAAGAAAATTCAACTAGAAAAAATCAATTTTTTTATTCGATTCTAAGTTAAAAAGTTTGATTTAATTTGACTCGACTCGTGATTTTATGAATTTGATTCGATTTAAAAAAAATTTAAATAAAGTGTGAGTTATAAGATTAGAATAACTTGAAATTTATAATAATTAGTTGATTAGTTTTTAAGTTCGATTTGAGGCTCTCAACTCCACACGATATATATACCTAAATTACATATGAAAAAAATATATATGTATATCATATACGATTATAGATAGTCATTTAAATTAAAATCATAGTATTATAATTATTTAAACAAGAAGATTGGAGGAAAAAGGTTCCTTTTGCCTGACACCTCTACTGGCATGTTTAGAAATTGAACTTCTGTCTGCCCCACTTCAAAAGTAATTTCAATATCTTTCAATGAAAGTTCAGTGGTATTCTAAAGGATATAGAGGTGTTAGGCAGGGGAACCTTTCTCCTCCTACTACTTATTATAGAAATGAATGTTCTCACTAAAATCCTTGATACAATATCTACAAATAGAATCTTTCAGTTTCATCTTAAATACAACAAGATTAAATTTGTTTAATTATATTTTATAAATAGGCAGACTCTCAGAACCTACTTTATTTCTTAACTTGACCCACGACATACATGCAGTTCTCTATTTTTACTAGGAGGGATGAATCACACATCGTCAATTTGCATACCTTATTTCTCACTATATTTATTATCATATATATTACTATCCGACATGTTATACATCAGTATAATTTACTATCGATGTAATAAATTATACACCATCAACATATTGAATGTAAATTATTAATGTATCAAAATATATAAATATATAAAAAAAACATTGGAAGAAGACCTAATGACGTTGACTCGTAAACGGAAGAAACATTGTTTGAAAACGGATTTGTGTAATCATAACCATGTCAAAAAAAATCCTCAAACCATATACTTATTTATCATTGTGGATTTATCTTTATCGTGAAAAACAAAAAGAAAAGTCCAATGGTTCATTTACCCACCAACCCATGATCACAGTCGTCGTAGAAATCAATCCTTGCCCCCGTTGACCTCTATATATACCTTCTTTCCCAAGTCTTCCACTAACCAAACACAAATGATTCTGTATATATCTCTCTTAGCTCTTCCAGTTCAGTAACCTTTTAAGAGAACAATCATCACATCGAACCAGCTTTCCCATGGAGTTCCAAAACACTCCCTTCACTAATCCCAGAGGTAAATATATATTCATCTACTTGTAATTCTTTGTTATTAATTATTAAAACTTGAGGGTCTGGTGTTAATGATCTTTGGGGTTTGGGGTTTTTTATGTATGACCTTGAAACAGCCCTTTATACGGTACTAGGGCATGCGTGTGCTGGTCCTTTGGTGAGGGTTCCTAGGGAAGGAGAACGTGTCTTTTACTTTCCTCAAGGACACTTGCAACAGGTTATGTTCAAGCTTCTGCTCTTTCAGTTTTCGGTCAAAGAGGAATGTAGTTGGAAAATATTTTGACCCCAGTTCAATTAGGCTTGGACAAGGTAATTTTAATATCTGAAAGTTTCAGCCCAAATTATATATATTTGATCATGGAGGAGAATTCTTTATTAAATTGAAGTCTTGGTTAATTCATTAATTAAAAAATTGACTTATTATTTAAATTTAATGTTTATAAAATAATTTTAATTTTTAATATTAAATGAATAATAAATTTGGTGTCTCAGGCCTAACCCAAAACAAGCCTAAACATCCATGAACAATTATAGGTTTGAATAGCTTCAGTATTTCAACATTTTTTTTTTAATATATAAAATTCATTAGAAATACCTCTTCTATTTTGCAGTCCTTGTATTGTTAACTATTAATGCTTGATTTTACATCATACATTTGAGGATTGCCTTCCAGTGTTTATATTACGTTAGATCTAAGATATTATGGTCCAGTGTTTCCCACCTTTGGTCCGTCTTCATCTTTTCTCCCACTCTGTCCTTTCTTTGGTCTAAAATAATTCTGAGCTTTTTGTATCACAGGACATGTCAATGCAGAATCCAAAACAAGAGTTGGTTGCCAAAGATTTGCACGGGAATGAGTGGCGTTTTGAGCATGTTTTAAAGGGTAATACTTACAATAAGAATAATATTAGATTCGTACCAACATCTGTAAACCATTTCTTATTGTGAGGAAAAAGAAAAAGAAAATTGCTTCACCTGAAAATGGGAATCATAGGTCAACCAAGAAGGCACTTACTTATAGGAGGATGGAGGGATTTTTTCGTCTCCAAGAGGCTTGTTGTTGGGGATGCATTTGTCTTTTTAAGGTTGGCTTTCTTCCTCAAAACTTACGACCACATTTGGTTGGCTTACATGGCATTGACTTGAAATGTGAGGGTTCAATATTAATAAACTAAATCCATTTTATAGAGGTGAGAATGAAGAGCTACGTGTTGGAATACGACGAGCAATGAGGTCAAATGTCAATGCTACTTCTTCTACAAGTTCAACTGATCCTCTTGATGTGCTTGCAAAAGCATGGGAGGCCTACACAAGAAGAACCTTATTCACCATATATTACAAACCAAGGTTTATTTTACTGCAAATTCGTTAAAGTTTATTGTTTCCCCATTTCTTTTAATCTTGTAATTATGAATTTTTAATTTCAGGGAGATGCCCGCAGAGTTTATAGTTCCATTTGATCGGTTCATGGAATCTATGAATAACAATTACTCAATAGGGATGAGATTTCAAATGAGTATTGAAAGTAAAGAAGCTCTAGAGCATAAGTATGGCTTCCGAAATTTCCTGTGGATTTTTAATGGCTGCCTGTGGTGTGAAAATAGATATTCATTGTTTCTGATACTGCAGAATTAATGGTTACATAGTTGGAATCGAAGACGCTGATCCTATAAGGTGGATGGATTCAAAATGGAGATGCCTTAAGGTAGTGTTATCTTTCATCCATTTCATGTTAAGCTTACCCTGATTTAATATACGAACATATCTAACATTTTTAATTTTCATATATTTTAGACAGAAAAATAAAAGATTAGGGTAAATTAACTGTGACATGAAGTATTCTGTGGTGGTAGAATAATGTTGAGAAATTTTCCTTGTAGGTGAAGTGGGATCAAAATGAAACTTCAACAGCACATCTTCCTGAAAGAGTTTCACCGTGGGAAATGGCTTCCCCTGGCTGGGCCTGCATTCGATCCTCTTCCAATGCCCTCACATGAAACAAACCTATCTCTTTAATATTATTTGATGGAGACACGGACTTGTATTTGATACGACACGATTTCAATGTTACGGAATATGTATCAAATACATGCGTACATGTTAAGAAAATAAAAATAAAATGGTGATTTTCTATGTAATATTATATCATCCCCATAAACACCCCAATATATGGTGATTTTCTATGTAATAATATTTACTACAATAGATTGCCTGCAATTTGGATGTAGGCAGCTGAAGAGTATAAACGCAAACGCTCTTGAACTTGAATAGAAAATAGCATTATTATCATCCATCCTTGATGGATGTGTACAAACACCCAAATCTTATTATGAAAAACATTAAAGGGCTATAGGATGATCACACCCTTCTTCCCAAATGACATTAAAAGCCAAGCAATATTAATGGGAAGGCCTGGTGGGCAAAGGGATTCCATTGAGAAAGGAATGGAACAATGTGAGTGCTTGTGAAGGTGAAGTGAATGGAACTTCATGAGCTGCTCCTCTCACTGTCGCATATGTTAGCATTGCTGCTTCACCCTTCTTCTTTCCAAATGCTTGCGTCCATCCTCCTACCTTCATTTTTTTAAAATTATATCAAACTCGATGTTCCACTCTCTCTAGTTCTAATTAACCATTAAAAAACAACAGACAGAGCTGTAGAATTGGATAATACCTGCTTTTGGTCACTATACCAAGGATCATACCAAGTCCCATATTCTGTAAGTGGAACCAGTTTCAACTCCTTTGCAATGTTATTTGCAATTATCCTTGTTTGAGTGAGTGGGATTTTTGCATCTTGGTCCCCACTGTTTTATTTTTTTATAAAAGAAATTACCATTAAAATTGTTTAATTATGAATTACCGACTAGCGAAATTTGTATAATTAATGAAATTAGTGGTGAGTTTACCTATATAAAAACACAGGAAGACCCTCCTTGATAAGATTTGTGACAAGAGGAATGACGTTGATTTCCAAGTTCACTTCATCGTAGACAAGAGGCCTGCAATACCCTTGTTTTTGTTATCTCAGTACTATGTAATATTAAATAATTAACCCTAAAAAAATAGAATGGAATATAGATATAAGGATACCCTAAACAGAAATCCCAGTGGAAAGGGAGGTGAGTTGTATTGGCATGGAGTGCCTTTTGAACATCAGGCCTATTAAGGTAGGTAAATATTCTTCCGGCAAGGCATGGGTCACCCTTCTTTGTTCTCCTAGAAACCTGTCCAAGTTTTAAAACCAAAGTATAAATGTATTTCAAATTCAAAATATAAACTAATATTTTAAAAATGATTGACATACAGCCGTATGTATCTTCCCAAGCTGTCCTTTAAGTCTGAATTGCTCGGCGTGGTTGGATGAAGGGCAAACCGGCAAGAGAAGATCGTCGAACCCAACATCGACACCCACTTCATCTGAAAACTCTATTGAACACATCATTGCATCCTTTGGACCATCCTGAATGAACGTATTCGTGCATGTACTTTGAGTCATTGCAAACTGTCTTCTCCAAGAACAGGGTTTCATCCGATATTGCACCGTGAGACCATAAGTAGTCGCCCGCCAATATACTGATGTCCAGATCCAAGAGTGGATTTCCAATCTATAAATGAACAATGGATGATGTTTGTAAATTAATGAATTTTTATTGCATTAAGGTGATAATTTGTGAATCGTGTATTACAGCAATGGCTACGAGGTTGACTGGTTCGTGGTTAGGGTTCTTGTTGTGCTCCACCAACAACGCTGCAAGCTGTGGGATATAGTGGCCTACAAAGCAAAGTATATTAATTTTCATCGATATTTCCAAACGATTGTTATTATAATGGTGGTGAAAGCTGAAAACATTTATTATTGTGTACCTGCATAGCTTTCACCAGCTATGAAGAACTCACAGTCTTTGAATTGCGGAAATTCTTCCAACCACTTCAAAATAAACCTATAATTATCTTGAGCTGCCACAATCAAAATATCATGGATATGAAGTCAAGTCATGTGATTCGGCATGAATATGATGAACTCACAGTGAAGGCATGAATATGAGTTACAAACCTGTTTGTGTATCATTCCATAAGATGTAATCATGGCTATCATTTGAATATGAAAATCCAACTCCGATTGGCGATTCAAGGTATAACATGTGAGATTCTATCAAAATTATCAATTTAAGGATCTCATTAAAGAATAGTAAGGAATTTAGACTGTGAATATATAAGTTTATGAAAAATTGATGCACCTATATTCCATGAATATTGATTCTTGATGAGGGTTCCATTTTCTCCTGGTTGTAATGGACCGGTTTCCATGAATGCACCATATCCAAGTGAAGAACAACCAGGACCTACATCAAAAAAATGAATAACATCAAAATTTTAACATATTTGAAAATAAATTTATTGGTTTTAAAAAAATACCTCCATTGAGCCAGAGTGTGACAGGTTTGAGGTCATCAGTATTGGCAGAACATTCGACAAAGTAATAGAAAAGAGCTCGGCCATGATCGGCATCTGTTACAATGTAGCCTGAATATTGCCTAAATGAATGGTTCTCATGTTGCCCTGGCAATGATGGTATCAGTTCAGCCCTCGAGTAATTTGAACAACAAAACACTAACATAAACAAAGAGAAGAACCAAAGAGCCATGACTGAGTTGATTCACAGAATTTCCAATAGATTGCATATATATATATATATAGATATATATATATATATATATATATATATATGTGTATGTTATTATTATATAAACGAGGCCTAGGAAGTGCCGGCTTCTTGGACTTTTGCATTTTTTTTTTTGTAAGTTTCATGGTAAATGTCTGAGTATATAAGTGCGTTAGTAACTAGGAAAAAACCATATATAAGTATATGCCATCTTATTAGTGATGGATCGAATGGGGACGATGAGAGACGGATCTTAAAAGTTTTAATTTTTCATATGTTTTAGATATTTTCTTTATATTTTTATTGATGATATCTTTTTTTGTTTCCTTTAAAATTTTATAAATTCATCACTCTATAAAATATTATAAATTCATTCTGTAACATAAAATCATGCGTCTGTCTCTACATTATATATGTATATAATATGAATAAAATACAAACATAATATATAATTCTTAAATATAATAAAATGATGAAAAAATTCAGGAAAAGATGAGATGAGACATAGATTTCAATGTTTATGCATTAAATTTGTTTTACGTTTGTGGGTTGTAAGATTCCTTTAGCCGTAAGTAATTCCGTGAATTACAATACACAATTAACTCACAACATTACTATTACATACTTATATATTACAATTAGGTGAATTTTAATTATTTAAACCCACTCTATAGGTTGAGAGTGAAGGCTCAACATTGGAATTCAAATTACAATATTTGTTTTAATCTCCTTATTGTTTTTATCTCCATTATAATGTTAATTAATTTAAGCATGTGTGAAGTGATTAGATAAATTGATGTAAATAATTTAAATCCCATAAATGAAGTGTTGTCTCTTGAAATTACTCAATTTTTATATCTTAAATTGTTTTGTATTTTAAAAAGTATAAACTATTTTTACAATCATTTGAAATAAAACCAACAACAAGTAGGTTTAGTAAGACGAGGCACTAGATCCCTTAAGTAAGGCCAGGAGTTCGAATTTTGGTGTTTACAAATGGAGCAAACTGGGTTAGGAGGGTCGCCCTTGGCTTTGCAATATATAATCCGGAATCGATTAATAAATAGAAAACCAATAGTTGTACAAATAACAAAATTTATTCTTAAAAAACAAGCAAAGGGAAATGAAGAAAAATAATTATTCTTAAGAAAAATCATTTGAAATATTATTTAATTTTATAATTTAATTATTCTATTTTAAAACAAGCAATGGGAAATGAAGAAAAATAATAACAAATTTAACATATATTATTATATTGGCATCGGTCCTAAAAAAATTTACATTATATAATTGGATTCTATCATATAGATATACATTACTTAATGGTCTATGAGATCTTCAAACTTTTAGGAAAAAAATAATATTACCCTTAAACTTATTTTTTTTACTGAATGTGACTCAATTAAAAAAAATCAATTTTTCGTTTAATCAGTAAAAAATAACATTAATCATTATAATGTTAATGTGATAGGTCACAATAAAGATAATAAACGATGATAGATGATAATATAATAGTGAAAATTAATTCTTTTAAAAAGTTGAAAAACTTAAACTGTCTTTTAAGAAAAGTTCGAGTCTTGATTCGTAGAAAGTTTGATTGCTTGTTTAATTTAAAATAATAAAAAATATTTAAATTTAAAAATAATAAAAAGTAATAAAAATACATTATTGAAAAGTAAAAATCCTAGAACACTGTAGAGAATTTCCAAAAATAAAAATATTACAAATTCAAAAATGATAAATTATAAAATCATAACAACTCAAAGCATAGATACCAGAACTTGATCTTTCCAGTTTCCTGGAAACATCATCATAGAATTATTGAAAACCACCTGTCAAGGCAATAATACATTTTAATCATTCTTAATACAACAATTTAACCCAAAAAAAAACAAACATAAATATAATATGGAGTTTATTTTTAACAAAAAATGTCTGGAAACAATGCATCTAAACCACTCCTATGATAACGCGGATTGATAAACCGAGCGGATGAATTAAAATTTACAGCTGATTAGGTAAAACGCAATCCGATAAATTATTCGTAACCAACTCCCGGATCATCTAAAATATGAAGACAACACTGTCATGAACCCTAGACTTCTGGTTTTGAGCCACACATTCAGAGATCCACATCAGGTTCCTGATCTCCTGCTCTCTCAATCTCATGTATGCAAAGAAAACCCCGTAATGGAACTGCATGATCATCATCCAAGAAAAGCAAATCAGAGAAGATTTGATACATTGTTTAATAGATGAAGAAAATTGGGATAAAAAATAAACAAAAGCAAGCTATGCCGCCGCTGTGCCTTCCTCATTTACTGTTACTAACAAAGATAATTGATGCCTTGAGAAATTAAGTATAAACCTGTTGCTCAAAAGCTAAGCTAAGCCTTTTCACTTCCTCCTCGTAAAATGCCTTGTCAAGCATC